AGTATCGTGAGACACGAGGCGACACGAGCAGGGGGCAGACTCAGGACAAGACCTGGACGCTGCAGCAAACACCTGACCCGACGCAGCTACCTCGCCAGACGCAGGGACAGGAGGAGACTCAGTGGTCAGGGTGTAGAGGCTCGACCCCGGCCGACACGTAAACGTGGCCAGATGTCGGCCTGTGCGAGCGTCCGAGTAGTGGGTCACCCGCTGACTCGAAGGAGTAAACTGGTGAACCCCCACATCCTGTAGGTCAGCACCACTCACCAAGTTCGTAGAGAACGAGGGGAGGTAAAGACCAGACAAGGTGCCAGAGGGGGCAGCCGGACACGGGAGGACAGTGGAGAAGTGAGAAAGGACAGGACCCCTAGAGGGGTTTGCCAGGGAGACTGCAAACGGCCGACCAAGCGGCGTGAGTGTGGTGCGGTCTCGAAAGAAAGAGCGAGAAGCCCCTGAGTCAAGTGTGAAGGTGAGGGAGGCCGAAGCCGACGTGGTACCTAAGAGCGCAGACTCACCAGCACCTGATGACGCAGACGCACTGACACCTAGAGCAGCAGCCTCACCGGCACCTAGAGCAGTAGCCTCACCAGTAACTAGAGCAGCAGTCTCAATGCCCGGGTCGGGCAGGAAACACCGGTAACAGTCACCCTCATCACGAATAGTCACAGCATACATGGCAGCAAGAATAGCATCAAAGTCAAGATCAAAGATAGCTACACCTGCCCTAGACAGCTCACCCCAGCGGGGGATCTCAGTGGCCTCCGGGAACTGGTGACGCCAAGCGTCCGTCAGGCGCCCAAAGCAGCGCTGGGTGGGGTGTGAACCCCCACACTGCTCACCCGCTCGGTCGCCGGTGCGTAGGACGTAGGTGCACGGACCAGTACCCCCACCACGCTGACGTGCAGCGTACCATTCACGGAGCTGCTTGGGGGGGGGGATGTCTTGAGAACGCTGCTGCTGGCGCTGACCACCACCAGAGCCGCTACGCTGGGTAGCGCCACCCCGACCAGCTCCACCTCCTCCACCACCGCCTCCTCCACCTCCACCACCACCGCCGCCTCCGCTCCCACCGCTACTGCCTCCGCCGCCTCCGCCTCCACTGCCGCCACCGACACCTCCACCCCCGCCACCACTCCCACTACCACCCCCACTCCCTCCGCCGCCTCCACCACTGCCTCCACCACCCCCGCTAGCTCCTCCCGCGCCCTTGCCCCCCTTGCCTTTGCCAGAGCGGCGTCTCCCGCTAGGGGAAGACGCCGCACCGACCGACTCAAGACCAACGAGGTCGGCCGCAGCAGTAGAGGCGACAGAGGGCAAAAGGGGGGAAGGAGAACACCCCTCAAAGATGGGGGTGCGAGGGTCACCACGAGAGGCTCCTACAGTGAGTATGCCCTTCTCCGCTGCTAAGAGGGCCGTCTCGAGGAGGTCAACAGTGAGACTGGTGGGACAGACTGAGAGGAAGTGATCTGTGACTACACGAAGGGAGTCAGGGAGACGGGTGACTATGTAGTAGAGAGTGATGTACATGGGGGGGGGGTTCTTGGCGCAGAACTCAGCAGGAAGCGCAGTGCTGTAGCGAGTGTCACTAGTGCGGATGTGCGTATTGAGGTTAGCGACTATGGGAAAGGCAGCGAGGTCAGGGAAGAGGTACGGTAGCATGAGGCGGCTCAGTGCAGCAGTGGCAGGGGAAGAGTAGCGCGCAATGACAGCGGCGTACAAGATCTGAGCACTCTTGTACGGACTAAAGTGTGCGCGCTCAGTGGTAGGCAGGTGGCGACGCACAGCAAGACGTGCAGCAGCATCGTGAGTGGCCCACTGTGAGCAAACAGTGGCGTCGGCATCGGCAGCAGGGGCAGGGGAGGCACCAGAGGTGAGGTCAAAGAGTGAGAGACCGTCTGCCCTATCGCACTGTAGGAAAAGCTGCAGGTAATCTACCCAGACGTCAAAGTCAATGGCCCGACCCTCAGCGTCAAAAGTGAGAACACTGGGGGTAGCCAAGACAGCAGTAGACTAGTAGCGCTAACTGTAGGGCAGGGGCAGTGCACTGACAGAGGCGCTGCTCTCACTAGACAAGGGCGGTTCGGGCAGCTCGACAGCACAGCAGCTCGGCAACAGGGCGGCTCGGGCGACTCGGGCGGCTCGGCAGCCACCGCGGCTCGGCGGCACCCGTGGCTTGGCTCCTCAGCTGCTCAGGCGGCTCGGGCAGCTCGGGCGGCTCGGGCGGAACGGGCGGCTCGGGCGGAACGGGCGGCTCGGGCTGCTTAGCGGTGCGGGCAGCTCGGCTGTGTAGGGTGGTAGGGCCGCTGGTAGGGCGGCGGGGCTGCTAGTAGGGTGGCGGGGCCGCAGGTAGGGCGGCGGGGCCGCTGGTAGGGCGGCAGGGCCGCAGGTAGGGCGGCGGGGCCGCTGGTAGGGCGGCAAGGCCGCAGGTAGGGCGGCGAGGCCGCTGGTAGGGCGGCGGGGCCGCTGGTAGGGTGGCGGGGCTGCAGGTAGGGCGGCGGGGCGGGGCCGTAGGTAGGGCGACGGGGCCGGGTTGAAGGTAGGGCGACGGGGCCGGTACGCAGGTAGGGCGACGGGGCCGGGGCCGGGGCGCAGGTAGGGCGACGGGGCCTGGGTCGGAGGTGGGGCGACGGGGCCGGGGTCGCAAGTAGGGCAACGGGGCCGGGCCGGGGCGCAGGTAGGGCGACGGGGCTAGGGCCGGGGCCGCAGGTATGGCGGCGGGGCCATGGTCGCAGTTGGGGCGACGGGGCCGGGGTCGCAGGTAGGGCGACGTGGCCGGGGCGAAGGTAGGGCGACGGGGCCGAGGCGCAGGTAGGGCGACAGGGCCGAGGCTTAGGTAGGGCGACGGGGCCGGGGCGAAGGTAGGGCGACGGGGCCGAGGCGCAGGTAGGGCGACAGGGCCGAGGCTTAGGTAGGGCGACGGGGCCGAGGCCGACGACGTAAGAGAGGGGAGCGCGACTTGGGCTGAGCGCGCTCCGGGCAGGAAAAAAAAACTTTCGACTTGGTGGGCCCTAGGCACAGTTCCTACGAGAGCATGAGAAAACTGAAACGAGAATGGCTGCACTAAGGAATGAAAGTGGTACAAATATGCAACCCTAGAAATGTGTACCCCATATAGGCTACCCCACTAGAGCCTACACAACATTATAATTTGACATACCTACTATTTAGTATGTAATTCATAGACTTCAGAACATCGGTAATCTCTCCCTCGTCCGTCCGCCTCTCCCCTTAATCCGCCACTCTTTCTTTCTTCTCTACTTATAAGTATATTGTGTCCTTCTCTGTTGTTTAGAAAATCATGAACTTCCCTTTACCACTGCAAGGTTGGTTTGGAGTTGAAATATCCTGATTATCTTGAAGTGTCGTTTGTCTTTTAAACCATTAGTTTCTTCGTTTTCTCAGTTTCGTTTCTCCAAAACTTGTAATCATTCTATTCTGTTATTTTTTTCTTGCACTAAGTGTTTGGAATATGCGTTTTTAATTGCAGATTCTGATCGGTAGGGGGGGCTGGAAGGGAATGTCTGGTGGTACAACTTAAAGTGCAGTTGTTTGGCAGGAGCTTTTAATTCCGAGTATTTGTTTCATTTGTTTTATTTCTGTTTGTTTTATGCTTCTTGTTGCAACCGTAATGCGTGTCTGCTTATTTCAACGAGACATCTTGCCAATCATCGTCACATAAGGTTGAGTGGTGCACCACTATGACAGTGAAGCCATTTTCAGCTGGACTTGATCGGTGTAGATGTTTCTTTGGGATTTGCAGATTGTATTGCCTTGTCACGATTTTGTTTATCTGCTGACTTCCCCCCCATGCTAGGCTGGGGAAGCAGTAGTATATTTTTGTCAGAACATATATATAGCTTATGCTATTGTAAAGGCTGTAGTGGGGTATCCCATAGGGGGTACAACCCAACTAGGGTTTCCTATATGTACTCACTTCATTCATAGTTCATTCATTCTCGTTCTATTCTTCTCATGGTATCGAGCAGGTTCCCCTGTGGGAACTGTGCTTAGGGCCCACCACTTTGAACTTTTTTTTCTGCCCGGAGCACGCTCCGGGCCCTCACTCTCACTATGTCGGCCTGCCCTGCGGCCCCCTAGACGCCCGCGTCCCGGCCCTTAGACGCCCGCGCGTCGCCCTTAGCCGCCCGCGCGCCGCCCGTCCCGGCCCCTAGCCGCCCGCGCGCCGCCCGTCCCGGCCCCTAGCCGCCCGCGCGCCGCCCATCCAGGCCCCTAGCCGCCCGTCCCGGCCCCTAGCTGCCCGCGCGCCGCCCGTCCCGGCCCCTAGCCGCCCGCGCGCCGCCCGTCCCGGCCCCACGCCGCTCGTGCGCCGCCCCTAGCCGCTCGCGCGCCGTTCGTCAGGCCCCGAGCCGCCGTCGCGCCACCCCTAGGCGCTCGTGCGGCGCCCGTCCCGGCCCGTCGGTGCCGTGCGCCGCCCGTCCTGGTCTCGCGACGCCGTGCGCCGCCCGCCCCGGCCCCAAGCCGCCCGTGCGCCGCCCGCCCCGGCCGCGCTCTGCCGTCTCGGCCCCTCGGCGCCAGGACGCCGACCGTCCTGGCCCCTCGCCCGTCCCGGCCCCGCTCCCAGCCGCCCGTGCGCCTCCCGTCCCAGCCGTGCGCCGCCGTCCCGGCCTCACACCGCCTGTGCGCCGCCCATCCCTGCCCCATGCCGCCGTCCCGGCCCCACGCCGCCCGTAAGCCGCCGTGCAACCCGACCCGCCCGAGCCGTCTACGCAGCTGAGGAGCCGAGCCGCCCGTGCCGCCTGTGCCGCTGCCTGCCCGAGCCGCCCGACCCGCCCGACCCGCCTGTGCCGCTGACTGCCCGAGCCGCCCGAGCTGCCCGAGCCGCCCGAGCCGCCCGAGCCGCCTGCACCGCCGGAGGAGCCGAGCCGCTGGTCCCGCGGAGCTGCTGTTGCTGCTGAGCCGGTTGAGCTGCTGTGTTGCTGTGCTGCTGTGCTACTGAGCTGCCCGACCCGTCCTGTCTGGTGAGACCGTCGACTGCTGTCATGGCTACCCCTAGTGTCCTAGCTATTGACGCTGAGGGTCGCGCCATCGACTTTAAGGTCTGGGTCGACGACCTGCAGCTGTTCTTACAGTGCGATAGAGCAGACGGCCTTTCTCTCTTTGACCTCACTTCTGGCGCCTCTCCTGCCCCTGCTGCTGATGTTGACCCCACTGTTCGCTCTCAGTGGGCCACCCGCGATGCTGCTGCACGTCTTGTTGTGCGTCGCCACCTCCCTACCTCTGAGCGCGCGCACTTTAGTCAGTACAAGAGTGCTCAGACCTTGTACGACGCTGTAATTGCGCGCTACTCTTCCCCTGCCACTACTGCACTGAGCGGTCTCATGCTTCCCTACCTCTTCCCTGACCTCTCTGCCTTTCCCACTGTCGCTGACCTCATTACGCACCTCCGCACTAGTGACACTCGCTACCGCGCCGCCCTTCCTGCTGAGTTCTGCGCCAAGAACCCCCCCCCCATGTACATCACTCTCTACTACGTAGTCGCACGCCTCCCTGACTCTCTTCGCGTAGTCAGGGACCACTTTCTCTCAGTCTGTCCCACCACCCTCACTGTCGACCTCCTCGAGAAGGCCCTCCTAGCGGCGGAGAAGAGCATCGTCGCTGTAGGAGCTTCTCGTGGTGACCCTTGCACCCCCATCTTTGAGGGGTGCTCTCCTTCCCCCCTGCTACCCTCTGTTGCCTCTACTGCTGCTGCCGACCTACTTGGTCTTGAGTCGGTCGGCGCGGCGTCTGCCCCTAGTGGGAGACGCCGCTCTGGCAGGGGCAAGGGGGGCAAGGGCGCGGGTGGAGCTGGAGGGGGCGGTGGAGGTGGCGGTGGAGGCGGCGGAGGGAGTGGGGGTGGCGGCGGGAGTGGTGGCGGTGGTGGTGGTGGTGGCAGCGGCGACGGGGGCGACGGTGGTGGCGGCAGCGGTGGTGGTGGTGGCAGCGGTGGAGGTGGAGGCGGCGGAGGAGGCGGTGGAGGAGGCGGTGGCGGCGGAGGGGGTGGAGCTGGTCGGGGTGGTACCCCGCAGCGGAGTGGCGCTGGTGGTGGCCAGCGCCAGCAGCAGCACCAGCAGCGTTCGCGGGACATCCCTCCGCCCCAGCAGCTCCGTGAGTGGTACACTCGGCGTCAGAGGGGTGGGGGTACTGGTCCGTGTACCTACGTCTTTCGCTCCGGCGACCGCGCGGGTGAGCAGTGTGGGGGTGCCCACCCCACCCTGCGCTGCTTTGGCCGCCTGACGGACGCTTGGCGTCAGCAGTTCCCCGGGGCTAGTGAGATCCCTCGCTGGGATGAGCTTCTTAGGGCTGGTGTAGCGATCTTTGATCTTGACTTTGATGCTATCCTTGCTGCTATGTATGCTGTGACTATTAGTGAGGAGGGTGACTGTTACCGGTGTTTCCCGCCCGACCCGGGCATTGGTACTGCTGCGCTAGGTGCTTGTGAGGCTGTTGCTCTAGGTGCCAGTGCGTCTGCCCTCTCAGGTACTGGTGAGACTGCGCTCTCAGGTACTGCGTCGCCTTCGTCCTCCCTCACTTTCACACTTGACTCCGGGGCTTCTCGCTCCTTCTTTCGAGACCGCACCACCCTCACGCCGCTTGGCCGGCCGGTTGCGGTCTCCCTGGCTGACCCCTCTGGGGGTCCTGTCCTCTCTCACTTTTCCACTGTCCTCCTGTGTCCGGCTGCCCCCTCGGGCACCCTGTCTGGTCTGTACCTTCCCTCGTTCTCGACGAACTTGGTGAGTGGTGCGGACCTACAGGATGCGGGGGTTCACCAGTTCACTCCTGCAAGTCAGCGGGTGACCCACTGCACGGACGCACGCACCGGCCGGCACCTGGCCACGTTCTCGCGTCGGCCGGGGTCGAGCCTCTACACCCTGACCGCTGAGTCTCCTTCTGTCCCTGCGTCTCGTCAGGTAGCTGCGTTAGGTCAGGTATTTGCTGCTGCGTCCCAGTCTGGCCCTGAGTCTGCCCCCTGTTCGTGTCGCCTCCTGTCTCACGAGACCCTCAAGTGGCACCACCGTCTTGGCCACCCCTCCTTGCCCCGTCTTCGGGGCATGGCTTCCCGTGTCCTTGTCTCTGGTCTTCCCCAGTCTCTCCCTCCCCTTCCTTCGGGACCAAGACCTTTCTGTCTCCCCTGTGTCGAGGGGCGCCTCCGGGCTGCTCCTCACTCCTCCCAGTTTCCCCCGACGGAGGCTCCTCTGCAGACACTTCACATGGACGTGTGGGGCCCAGCCCCCGTCCGTGGGCAGGGTCACGAGCGCTACTTCCTGTTGGTGGTTGACGACTACTCGCGTTACACCACAGTCTTCCCCTTGCGCAGCAAGGGTGCAATCACTGAGGTGCTGATCGACTGGATCCGCGAGGCTCGTCTCCAGCTCAGGAGGAGCTTCGGCTCGGACTTTCCTGTTCTGCGTCTGCACTCTGACCGAGGCGGGGAGTTCTCCTCTCTCCTTCTGCGAGACTACTGTCGTGCACGGGGGATCCGCCAGACCTTCACGCTTCCGGACTCTCCACAGCAAAATGGGATTGCTGAGCGCCGCATTGGCATGGTCATGGATGTCGCTCGTACGTCCATGATGCATGCGGCTGCCCCCCATTTTCTGTGGCCGTTTGCGGTGCGGTACGCGGCGCATCAGCTCAACCTTCACCCCAGGGTCTCTCGGCCCGCGATGTCCCCAGTCTTGCTGTGGACGGGAAAGGTCGGCGATGCGTCTGCGTTCCGTGTCTCCGGATCTAGGGCATTTGTCCGCGACTTGTCTGCGGACAAGCTGTCCCCTCGTGCTGCTCCCTGTGTCTTCCTTGGCTTCCCTTCTGACGCTCCAGGGTGGCAATTCTACCACCCCTCCTCTCGTCGTGTTCTGTCCTACCAGGACGTCACGTTCGACGAGTCAGTCCCCTTCTACCGCCTCTTCCCCTACCGCACTCCTTCCCTCCCCCCGCCGCCGGACTTCCTTGTGCCGGTTCCCCCCCCGGTAGACCCCTTCCCCCCTCAGGTTCCTGCCCCCTCAGGTGTGTCCCATGTAGACGCAGTTGACCCGGTCGAGGTTACTGGTGACTCTGGTGCTGCTGCGGGTGCTGAGCCTGGGGGTGCTGACTCTGGGGGTGCTGTCCGCGGGGGTGTCGAGCTTGGAGGTGCTACTACTAGGGGTGCTGAGCCTGGGGGTGCTTCTGGTGAGGGTGCTGAGCCTGGGGGTGCTGAGCCGGGGGGTGCTGTGCCTAGAGCTGCTGAGCTAGGGGGTGCTGAGTCTGGGGGTGCTGAGTCTGGAGCTGCTGGGCCTGGGGGTGCTTAGTCTGGAGCTGCTGAGCCTGGGGGTGCTGTGTCTGGTGCTGCTGAGCCTGGGGTTTCTCCTGGTGCTGCGTCTCCGCGGGAGCCCCTCTCTCCACAGGAGCTGCGCGAGTGGTTTGCTCGCCACTGGAGGTGTACTGCTGGAGTTGGAGCTTCTTCGACAGTCGAGGGTGCTGGTGCCGCCGGTCCCGGAGCTGCTGGGCCTGCGGGTCCTACTGGAGCTGGAGATACTGAGGGTGTTGGTGCTGAGACTACTGCTGTCTGTCCTGGCGGTGGTTCTGCTGCTGGTGCTGCTGGAGGTCCTACCGCTGGAGGTGTTGGTGGTGCTGGTGCTGCCGCTGAGGGTGCTGGTGCTGTCCCTGCTGAGTCTGGAGCTGCCGCGTGGCCTCGGCCGTACTTCGTTCCGCTCCTGCAGCAGGTTCTTGGTCTTTCTCCTCCGGTAGAGTGTCCACAGCCTGTCCAGTCGCAGTCACTGTTGGTGCCCACCTCCCCACTGCCTGCTCCCTCTCCTTACACAGGTCCTACTGGAGGTCTTGCTGAGCTTCGTGAGCCTGCGTCTCGTCCCGCGTCGCCTATTCGTGCTGCTCGCGCTAGTGGTCGTGGTTCACGTCAGCGTCCTCCTCCTGTCCCTGGCACGCACCGGATGTCTCTGCGTCCGTCCACTGCTCCTCTGCGTGCCCCTTTGCCTTCTCCTCCTGAGTCCTCCCTTCCTGTGCATACCGACCCAGAGTCGGACTCCCTTCGTGCCGCTTGTCCTACTGTCACGCGTCTGCTTGCTACTGTCGTCACTGACCCCTCTTTTGAGTCCGCTGCTGCGTCTGCTCTTGTCGCTGAGCTCCTCGACTTTGCTGCTCGCTGTCGTCTAGACTACGCTGCTAGTCTTGTTGTTGAGTCTGCGTCTGTCTGTCCTTCGTCCGTCGGGGGTGAGTGTGCTCTTGGCACGGACGTCCTAGAGGACAGGCAGGAGGAGTTCCAGTGTCTGGCTGCTGCTTCACCTCATCTCGCGTCTGTACTGCGTGCTCCTGAGGGAGACCCGGATGCACTAGACATCCCGACTCCGCGCTCTTACGCGGAGGCCGTAGAGGGTCCCTACTCCTCTCAGTGGCAGGCAGCTATGGATGCAAAGATGGCTTCCTGGAAGTCCACAGGCACCTACGTTGACTCGGTTCCCCCGCCTGGGGCGAACATCGTCAGTGGCATGTGGATCTTGAGGGTGAAGCGGCCGCCGGGCTCTCCACCTGTCTTCAAGGCGCGGTACGTGGCTCGTGGCTTCAGTCAGCGGCAGGGAGTTGACTACTTTCAGACCTTCTCTCCCACCCCGAAGATGACCACTCTTCGGGTGCTGCTGCACATAGCCGCGCAGCGCGACTAGGAGCTTCAGTCTCTCGACTTCAGCACTGCATTCTTGCAGGGTAGCCTGCACGAGGAGATCTGGCTGCGCCGTCCACCTGGCTTCACTGGCACTTTCCCTCCTGGCACCCAGTGGAGCCTCCGACGGCCAGTCTACGGTCTCCGCCAGGCACCGCGTGAGTGGCACGACACACTGAGGACTACGCTTGCGGCTCTTGGGTTTGCTCCTTCTACTGCTGACCCGTCGCTGTTTCTGCGCACCGACACTTCTCTGCCACCGTTCTACATCCTCGTGTACGTCGACGACTTGGTCTTTGCCACAGCGGACACTGCTGGACTCGCCTACGTGAAGTCCGAGCTGCTGAAGAGACACACGTGCACAGACCTGGGTGAACTGTGCAGCTACCTTGGCTTGCAGATCACTCGGGACAGAGCACGCCGCACCATTACCTTGACTCAGTCACACATGGTGCAGCAGGTCCTTCAGCGCTTCGGCTTCACGTACTCCTCGCCTCAGGCCACTCCTCTGTCTACTCGTCACTCGCTCTCAGCTCTGCTTTCGGATGAGTCCGTAGAGTCGAGTGGCCCGTACCCAGAGCTTGTTGGCTGCCTCATGTACCTGATGACCTGCACACGACCTGACCTTGCATACCCTCTTAGCATTCTTGCACGCTATGTTGCTCCTGGGAGACACCGACCAGAGCACATGGCTGCAGCGAAGAGGGTATTGCGTTACCTGTGCAGTACGTCGGGCATGGGGCTAGTGCTTGGAGGGCGGAGTCCAGTGGTCCTTACAGGTCACGCGGACGCTTCTTGGGCTGACGACCAGGCTACGCAGCGGTCGTCACAGGGTTACACCTTCAGCCTTGGTTCCGGCTCTGTCTCGTGGCGGGCTACTCGCTCGTCTTCGGTTCTCAGCTCTTGTTGTGAGGCTGAGATCTACGCAAGGGCCATGGCTGCACAGGAGCTTTGCTGGCTCACCTACCTGCTGACTGACCTTGGAGAGCCGCCTCGTTCTCCTCCAGTGCTGTACGTAGACAACAAGGCCATGCTGGCCTTGTGTCGAGAGCAGCGTCTGGAGCACAGAACGAAGCACATTGCTCTTCGCTACTTCCTTGCTCATGAGCTACAGCAGCGTGGACAGTTGCGGCTTGCGTACGTGGCCTCTGAGGCCAACACTGCTGATGTGTTCACCAAGGCACTCGCGCCTTGTGACCATCAGCGCTTCTGCACCCAGTTGGGCCTTGTACCTGTTTTGCCTCACTTGCTCTCCTCTTGACCTCACTTGTACTGTCACATATATATACCTGCTCTTGCTTGTCTAGCTTTATATATATATGTCTGTACTCCTGCATGTGAACTGGCCTTTGGCCTTGCTCTTGTGCTCGGACTGTGTGGTGACTTTGTGATCCACCCTGAGCTTTGCTTTGCTTTGCTTGACTGGTCTTGTGACCCCTTGTTCTCCCCCACTTTGCCTATGGGGGTTTGTCAGAACATATATATAGCTTATGCTATTGTGTAGGCTGTAGTGGGGTATCCCATAGGGGGTACAACCCAACTAGGGTTTCCTATATGTACTCACTTCATTCATAGTTCATTCATTCTCGTTCTATTCTTCTCAATTTTTTTTATCGTTAGCCCGACACAAAATGTTTGTTTGTTCAAATTCAAACCATGAGACATATTCATCAATTCTTTTGATGAATATGCTTACGTCTTGTCTCGTGTACACTAGATGGTATACACAAGAAATACACTGATCGTTCTGTTGGTCGGTCATTGTATTTCACTAATGATTTTGAGAGTCCGAAGTCAAACAAATATATGTAGATGAATAACTTTTAACAGAAAGATCGCGTGGCTCTCGCGTTAAGCTACGTGAAGGACAAACTAGTTTGGCATATAAATTATGATTATGAGCCTTAACGAAAAAAATCTTCTTTTATGAAGCATTTTTTTCTAAGCTATCAAAAAAAATTCGTGAAAAAAAATATATGGTATAGTTGATTGCAGTAGGTTGCTCCGCAACCCAAAAAAAAAAAAAAAAATTGATGTGTCAAACTTTATGTTTGTGTTCTTTCTAGGCTATAGTTGGTTAGCCTACAAGGGGTACAACAGTTTAGGGTTAGGTACTTGTACTCATGCATGCTAGTCCATCATTCCTCCGTGCTTATTATAACATGGTATTAGAGCAGAATTGTTCCTAGGGCCCACCGAACGTTCCGCTTTGTCCTAACCGAACATTTTTTCTTTCTACGCTGCCCCTGTAGCCGCGCTACCCTTGCAGCCCGCACGAAGCCCCTGCGACCACGCTGCCCCTGTAGCCGTGCTCGCCCCTGTGATCGTGCTGCCCCTGCAGCCATACTCGCCCCTGGGACCGTGCTGCCCCTGCAGCCGTACCTGCCCCTGTGGCCCACGCGCTGCCCCTGCAGCCCGTGCGTCGCTCCTGGAGCCCGTGCGTGCTGCCCCTGCAGCCCACGCACCGCCCCTACAACCAGCGCATCGCCCTGCTGAGCCACGCGTCGCCTCTGCAGCCCGTTCGCGCTGCCCCTGCAGCTCGCGCGTCGCCCTGCTGAGCCACGCGTCGCCTCTGCAGCCCGTACACGCGGCCTCTGCAGCCCGCGCGTTGCCCCTGCACCTCGCGCATCGCCTCTGCAGCCCGTGTGCCGCCCCTGCAGCCAGTTCGTGCTGCCCCTGCAGCCCGCGCGCCGCTTTGGCAGCTTGCTCGCCGCCCTGCCGAGCCGCGCGTCGCCCTGCCGATTCGCGCGTCGCCCCTGCAGCCTGTGCGAGCTGCCCCTGCAGCCCGCGCATCGCCCCTGCAGCCCACGCACCGCCCCTGCAGCCCGTGCGTGTTGCCCCTACAGCCCGTGTGCCACCCTGTTGAGCCGCGCCGCCCAAACCCGAGCCGCCCTACTACAACTACTGCTACTGCTGCTGCTGGAGGAGGTACTGTTGGGAGTGGTGTAGGTGCAGTCGCCCAACCCCACTGGACCGCCCTGCTGCTGTTACTACTGCTGCAACCGCTACTCGTGCTACTGCTGCTGCTGGTGGAGGTGCTGCTGGGAGTGCAGGGGTGCGGCCGCCCAGCCCCACCGACCCGCCCTGCTGCTGCTACTACTGTTGCTGTTGGTGGAGGTGCTGCTTGGAGTGCTAGAGGTGCTGCTGGTGCTGGAGGTGCTGCACCTACTCCTGACCGTCGCTGTCGGTCACGGCCACTGTCGCGACAGTTGCTGCGACCAGGGGTGGACAGCAGCGGGCACTGCCTCTCCCGGACGACCCCACCCCTTAGCAGCTTCTGTCAAACACTGTATGTGTTGTTGTTGTGTAGGCGATAGTGGGTTAGCCTTTAGGGGGTACACAAAACTAGGGTTTACTACTTGTACTCCATCTTTTCGAAGTTCACACACTTCTTATTCTGACATGGTAGGAGAGCTTAGGTTCTAGATTTAGGACTCACCTAAGGGCCCACCGTTAGAAGCGCCCTTGAGCGCCCCATCCTCCTAGCGCCCTCGAGCGCCGTTCCCCTAGTGCGCCCTCGTGCGCCTCGTCTCCTCCTGCTGCCCGTGCGCGGCATGCTAGTGCCGCGCGCGACCTTTTTTTTTCCCGCGCGTCGCCCTCTAGCAGCCCACGCGCAGCCTGGGAGTGCTACGTTAGGAGCTCCTACGCCAGGGGGTGCTGCGTCTGGAGCTACTAAGCCTGGAGTTGCGGAGCCTGCTGCCACTGGACCTCCCCTTCTGGCGTCTGGTGGTGCGGGGCCTGGAGGTTCTCCGGGTGCTTCGTCTCGGCGGGAGCCACTCTCTCCACAGGAGCTGCGCGAGTGGTTTGCTCGCCGCTGGAGGCGTACTGCTGGAGCTGGAGCTTCTTCAACTGATGAGGGTACTTGTGCCGCTGGTCCCGGAGCTACTTGGCCATCGGGTCCGCCTGGAGCTGGAGCTGCTGAGGGGGTTGGTGCTGAGCCTGCTGCTGTCCTTCTTGGCCGTAGTCCTGCTGCGGGTGCTGCTGGTGCTGCTGGAGGTCCTGCAGCTGGAGGTGCTGTTGGCACTGGTGCTACCGCTGAGGGTGCTTGTGCTCTCCCTGCTGTGTCTGGAGTTTCCGCGCGGCCTCAGCCGTACTTCGTTCCGCTCCTGCAGCAAGTTCTTGGTCTTTCTCCTTCTGTACGGTGTCCACCGCCCGTCCAGTCACAGTCACAGTTCGAGCCCGCCTCCCCACTTCCTGCTCCCTCTCCTTACACTGGTCCTACTGGAGGTCTTGCTGAGCATTGTGAGCCTGCGTCTCGTCCCGCGTTGCCTGCTCGTGCTGCTCGCGCTAGTAGTCGCGGTTCGCGTCAGCGTCCTCCTCCTGTCCCTGGCACGCACCGGATGTCTCTGCGTCCGTCCACTGCTCCTCTGCGTGCCCCTTTGCCTTCTCCTCCTGAGTCCTCTCTTCTTGCACTTGCCGACCCAGAGTTGTACTCTCTTCGTGCTGCCAGTCCTACTCTCACGCGTCTACTTGCTACTGTCGTCACTGACCCCTCTTTTGAGTCCACTGCTGCGTCTGCGCTTGTTGCTGAGCTCGTCGACTTTGCTGCTCGCTGTCGTCTAGACTACGCTGCTAGTCTCGTTGCTGAGTCTGTGTCTGTCTGTCCTCCGTCCGTCGGGGGTGAGTGTGCTCTTGGCACGGACGTCCTTGAGGACAGACAGGAGGAGTTCCAGTGTCTGGCTGCTGCTTCACCTCATCTCGCGTCCGTACTACGTGCCCCTAAGGGAGACCCAGATGCACTAGACATCCCGACTCCGCGCTCTTACGCGGAGGCCGTAGAGGGTCCCTACTCCTCTCAGTGGCAGGCAGCTATGGATGCAAAGATGGCTTCCTCGAAGTCCACAGGCACCTACGTTGACGCGGTTCCCCCTCCTGGGGCGAACATCGTCAGTGGCATGTGGATCTTCAGTGTGAAGCGGCCGCCGGGCTCTCCACCTGTCTTCAAGGCGCGGTACGTCGCTCGTGGCTTCAGTCAGCGGCAGGGAGTTGACTACTTTCAGACCTTCTCTCCCACCTCGAAGATGACCACTCTTCGGGTGCTGCTGCACATAGCCGCTCAGCGCGACTACGAGCTCCACTCTCTTGACTTCAACACTGCTTACTTGCAGGGTAGCCTGCACGAGGAGATCTGGCTGCACCGTCCACCTGGCTTCACTGGGACTTTCCCTCCTGGCACCCAGTGGAGCCTCCGACGGCCAGTCTACGGTCTCCGCCAAGCACCGCGTGAGTGGCATGACACACTGAGGACTACGCTTGCGGCTCTTGGGTTTGCTCCCTCTACTGCTGACCCGTTGTTGATTCTGCGCACCGACACTTCTCTGCCGCCGTTCTACATCCTCGTGTACGTCGACGACTTGGTCTTTGCCACCGCTGACACTGCTGGACACGCCTACGTGAAGTCCGAGCTGCAGAAGAGACACACGTGCACAGACCTGGGTGAACTGCGCAGCTACCTTGGCTTGCAGATCACTCGGGACAGAGCACGCCGCACCATTACCTTGACTCAGTCACACATGGTGCAGCAGGTCCTTCAGCGCTTCGGCTTCACGTACTCCTCGCCTCAGGCCACTCCTCCGTCTACTCGCCACTCACTCTCAGCTCTGCCTTCGGATGAGTCCGTAGAGTCGAATGGCCCGTACCAAGAGCTTGTTGGCTGCCTCATGTACCTGATGACCTGCACACGACCTGACCTTGCATACCCTCTTAGCATTCTTGCACGCTATGTTGCTCCTGGGAGACACAGACCGGAGCACATGGCTGCAGCGAAGAGGGTGTTGCGCTACTTGTGCAGTACGTCGGGCATGGGCTAGTGCTTGGAGGGCGGAGTCCAGTGGTCGTCACTGGGCACGCGGACGCTTCTTGGGCTGACGACCAGGCTACTCAGCGGTCGTCACAGGGTTGCACCTTCAGTCTTGGCTCTGGCTCTGTTTCGTGGCGGGCTACTCGCTCGTCTTCTGTTCTCGGCTCCAGTTGTGAGGCTGAGATCTACGCCGGGGCCATGGCTGCTCAGGAGCTTTGCTGGCTCACCTACCTGCTGAGTGACCTTGGAGAGTCGCCTCATTCTCCTCGAGTGATGTACGTAGACAACAAGGCCATGCTGGCCTTGTGTCGAGAGCAGCGCTTGGAGCACAGAACGAAGCACATTGCTCTCCGCTACTTTCTTGCTCGTGAGCTGCAGCAGCGTGGTCAGTTGCGACTTGCGTACGTGGTCTCTGAGGCCAACACTGCTGATGTTTTCACCAAGGCAATTCCGTCTTGTGATCATCAGCGCTTCTGCACCCAGCTGGGACTTGTCCCAGTCTTGCCTCACTTGCTCACCTCTTGACCTTGTTTGTACTCTTGCATATATATATACCTGCTCTTGCTTGTTTAGCCTTATATATGTGTGTGTCTCCTCCTGCATGTGCACTCGCCTTGTGGCCTTGACCTTGTGCTCGGACTGTGTGGTGACTTTGTGATCCACCCTGAGCTTGCTTTGCTTTTCTTTGCTTGACTGGTGTTGTGACCCCTTGTTCTCCCCCACTTCGCCTATAGGGGTGTGTCAGATATATATGACATAGCTATTGTAGGCTATAGTGGGGTACCACATATAGGGTACAGCTTTCTAGGGTTTGTATTTGTACCCAGCTTTCACCTAGTCATTCTCATTCTCGTTCTCATTTTCTCACATGGCTGCACAGGAGCTTCGCTGGCTCACCTACCTACTGACTGGCCTTGGAGAGCCGCCACGTTCTCTTCCAGTGCTGTACGTAGACAACAAGGCCATGCTGGCCTTGTGTCGAGAGCAGCGCTTGGAGCACAGAACGAAGCACATTTGCTCTCCGTTACTTTCTTGCTCGTGAGCTGCAGCAGCGTGGTGAGTTGCGACTTGCGTGCGTGGCCTCTGAGGCCAACACTGCTGATGTTTTCACCAAGGCACTTCCGCCTTGTGATCATCAGCGCTTCTGCACTAAGCTGGGACTTGTCCCAGTCTTGCCTCACTTGCTCACCTCTTGACCTTGCTTGTACTCTTGCATATATATATACCTACTCTTGCTTGTTTAGCCTTATATATATATGTCTCCTCCTGCATGTGAACTGGCCTTGTGGCCTTGACCTTGTGCTCGGACTGTGTGGTGACTTTGTGATCCACCCTGAGCTTGCTTTGCTTGACTGGTCTTGTGACCCCTTGTTCTCCCCCACTTTGCCTATGGGGGTGTGTCTGTACATTATAGCTTATCTTTTTGTGTAGGCTGTAGTGGGGTATCCCATAGGGGGTACAACACAATTAGGGTTAGTAGTTGTACCCACTTCATTCATAGTTCATCCATTCACATTCTTATTTTCACATAAGTAGCGGGTCAATGCGCCCATAACCCCGCAGGCAACTGTGTTTGTAACCCTTCCCTAGGATCAATCGGAGATCACCAGTGGACTTCTGACACCCCCCCTCACTGGGATGCCCAAAGTGCACACACCGGGATTCGAACCTGAGACCTTCGCTCTGATACCATCTCAAAATCCCAACCACTAGACCACTTGGATAAAAGGGCTTGTTTAAGTAGCGGGTCAGTGCGCCCATAACCCCTTAGGCAACCGTGCCTGTAACCCTTCCCTAGGATCAATCGGGGATCACCAGTGGACCTCTGACACCCCCCCTCACTGGGATGCCCGAAATGCACACACCGGGATTCGAACCCGAAACCTTCGCTCAGATACCATCTCATAATCCCAACCACTAGACGACTGGGATAAAAGGGCTTGTTTAAGTAGCGAGTCAGTGCGCTCATAACCCCCCAGGCAACCGTGCCTGTAACCCTTGCCTAGGATCAATCGGGGATCACCAGTGGACCTCTGACATGGAGGTCATTTCCCTCCACCCACGTCTCTCATTTTTCAAACGGTTTAGTCAAGTTGTCCCACCCACCCACCCCCTAGAATAGTGAATAATAGTTAATTGTGCTGCGAGATTTATCCTATGCTAGCTTGGACTTGTTTGTGCTAACCTATTTGAAATGAGACGATTTCATTGCTACAACAAGAAAGCAAGTTTTCTAAATCTGCATGAGTTTGACGAGAGAGAGAGAGAGAGAGAGAGAGAGAGAGAGAGAGAGAGAGAGAGAGAGAGAGAGAGAGAGAGAGAGAGAGAGAGAGAGAGAGAGAGAGAGAGAGAGAGAGAGAGAGAGAGGGGAAGACTCCCTAAAGAGGTGTGCCATTTCATCGCGTTTAAGGGTACAGTTAAATTTAAACATGATCAAGATTTAGTGGTACGTTGTGCAGTGGTTTCAGAAAATGGGTGAGTGAGAAGGGTCTCCGTTTCGATTCTTATGCGGGGCTTTCACTTGTTCACATTTGAATAAACATCTAGTGCTACATGATTCAAAGTTTCATATGAAGATGCCACCCAAACAAAAAAATTACTTAAGCTGCTCCGCAACCCTAAGACGATTTCGTCGCCTCTTTTTTTTTTTAAATGCAGGGGCTCTGCTTATTAGGGCCTAGTACTAAGGTGGAGATGCTTCAGGGTAAAACAAAACGGTTTTGTTTTTTTTCATTGCACGTAAAAACTATATAAACATCCAAGCCTCCATATGTAGTTTCTCAAAACGTCAATTTGAGGTTTAAAAAAAAAAAAAAAAAAAAAACGGCTGATACACAATCATTTTTCCCTTGCACGCTGTCTTTCGGGTATTTTTTTAGGCTTTTTCTGAAATCTCACTGTTTTTGGTACGTATCAAATCATGAAGCAGTTCTCGGAATCTTGATGAAATATCGTTTTGTGCCTATTCTGGTCTGCTTTGTTAATGGCTCTGAAGGCAGCTAATACTAGGAACGAGGCAGACTACAGAACACGTTAGCACTCTCTCTTCGTGAAATTATTGCAGCTATATCCACCACCACCCCTTACACGCCACGGAATGCTCACAACCACAGACCGACATGGCTGTTCTCGCCTCGCCTCACCAGTCCGACACGGACTCACGGCGGACCTTCGCGCTGAGTGCCGGCAAAATTTGCAGCGCGATGTGGTGGACACGATTATGGGAGCAACGCGTGATTATGGACACAGTTTAGGTGTCGATGCCATGCAGAGATTATGCGTGAGGTCTGAAACGCCAGCAACGCGTGTAATTCAAGGGTCGATGCGATCCGTTGCAGAAACCATGGGCGCCGCGAGGGCGCGCAGCAATAATTGCCGCGGGGGGCACAGGCTGTAGCTCGCCCAGCCTTACTCCGGCGGCATCGGAAGCGCCATCGCCAGCCTCCAGCCTCCTGCCTCCAGCTTCCAGCCTCCTGCAGTGTCGTTTTCGTGGTGTCTGAAGTCGGTATATACGTAGTGGGACCTTTGATTCAGCATCGAACCCGACTCCTAGCCAGTCCGTCACTGCTTCAATCCGTCGCTGCTTCAGAGTCCATCGCTGTTGAATTCGATACCCCTGTCCATATATCGCCCAGCGAAATTACCGCTACGCCGCTTTCTGCTACGAGGCTAACCTAGTTCACCTACTCACCGGTCGCTACCGAACTATAATCCACTTCCGGCCCGAGCACCAATCAGCTGCGCGACCACTTTCAGTCCACGTCAGCATGACTCAGATGGGACATTCCAAGGCCGCAGCAGCCGCGTTGATCGCCGTCTCCATCCTCCTCGGTACGCCTCAGCCTTCCACCACCCTCCCTTTCAACATTTCTCGTGTCAAGCCCGCAGGCAGGCAGGCGTTTACGCCTCATGATGCTTGTGTGGAGTTCATAGCATGCGAGATTCAGTCCCCAGCGTCCCAGCGTCACGGAATGCGTCACGGATGCTCGTGTGGAGGGAGGAGTACACAGAATCCGCGATTCAGTCCCCAGCGTCACGCTCATTCCGTACACTTTCGTGAGCCATCCGTGACTGAGTTTTGCGCTTCCCGTTCTGACACTGCCCTTCTCGTTCTGTCTTCGCCCTTCTCCGCCCGCCATCCTCGCAGCGATGGGAGCAAATGCGCCGGCTGCTGCCTCCGACGTGGTTCCCGTGGAGCTGCGAGTGGGCACGATGGTGCCCGCCGGCTCGCCGGCTTCCTACCGTTGACTTTTGAGTATCACGCGTTGACTCAAAAGGCTGCGGGTGGGCACAGTGGTGCTCGCCGGCTCGCTCGTTCTGACCATTTCCTTTTCCTTTCTGTCTTCGCCCTTCTGGCATCCTCGCAGCGACCGTCAGCATGTCGATGGGAGCAGATGCGGCTGCAGCAGCCAGCGACGTGGTTCCTGCGGAGGTGCGGGTGGGAACGGTGGTGCTCGTGGGCTCGCTCGCTCAACCCGAGCCCGTCTACTTCGACTATAACCGCTGTGTGCCCGTGCCTGAGATCGCCAAGGGGGCGAGCAGCGGCGGTGGTGGTATGGCGGATGTGCTGGTGTGGTGGGACGTGTTTTCGGAGCGCACTATGTGCAACGCGGTGCAGCTGTTCGCGTCGCCTGACTGCTCGGGGGCACCCACGGCAAAGTACCAAAATACGTGGTATATGAGGTGAGTGCTTTCGGGGTACACGAGGTGAGCACTGGGGGGGTGCATGAGGTGAAAATTCGAAGTGTACTTGAGGCAAAGTACCAAAACACGCGGTACATGAGGTGAGCACTCGCCAGGGTACACGAGGTGAGCATTCCGGGGGTGAGCAGTCCGGGCGATTCATCTGTTTATTCTGACTGGCGTGCATTGAAGACTTTTGTGGCGCCTCAAAAGCAATCAGGGAGATTCATCTGTTTATTCCGACGTGCATTAAAGCTCCTTCGTTTCTCCTGCCTGCCTGCACATCTTGCTCACATGCCACTTCCCCACGCACCCTTGCTTTCCCCCCGTCCATTCCTCAATTCCCTCCCAACCGTTCCTTGTGCGCCCCTCCCCCTGTGCGCACATGTGAGCAGTGCGCTCAAGATGGGCGCATCAGTGAAGTCCATCCGCTGCGTTCTCGGTGAGTGCCCTGATGCAACCATGCTGCTGCTGCTGCAACCATGCTGCTGCTGCTGCAACCATGCTGCTGCTGCAACCATGCTGCTGCTGCTGCTGTCTGAGCACTTTCAGCCATACATGCACTTTCAGCCATACATGCACTTTCAGCTACCACTCATGTGCTCTTCCCCCCCCAAGGCCTCTCCCTCACGCCTCTCATCCCATACTGCTCCCCCCATGCCTCTCGCCCCATGCCCCTCTGTGCTGCAGACAACATCTGTCGGAAGGCCAAGTGTCCGAAGAACTCCACGTGCATCAGGACAAAGGACAGCCAGGAGGTGGGCTGCCAGTGCGCCCAGGGCTACCGTGACGTCTACGGCCAGTGCAAGCCTCAGTAGGCCTGCCCTCCCACCTGTAAGTCAATTTTGAGATATCTCATGTCAAAGAAAGACAGGGCTACCGTGACATGGTCGGCCAGTGCAAGCCTCAATAACTCCCTCTCCCCTCCCATCTGTAAGTCAATTCTGAGATGCCTCAAAGAAAGACAGGCTGGAGGTGGCATGCTGGTGCGCCCAGGGTTACCGTGACGTCTTGGGCCAGTGCAAGCCCCAGTAGCTTGTACCCGAATGTGTGTCAAGACGAGAGTCAGCAAGGAGGTGGGGTGTGCCAATGCGCTCAGGGTTACCATGCCGTCTCTTTCCAATGCAAACCCCTATAACCTCCTGTCCCCTCTGTAAGTCCTCTCTTTTCAAATGCATCCCCGCATTACCGTCCTCTGCTGCTTACCGTCATATCCCGTTCCACCCGCCTTTTCCCTTGTGCCCCTGTCTTCCCTTCCTCTCCCGCTCCTGTCCCCCTTATCCCGCTCCTCTCCCCCTTATCCCGCTCCTTTCCCCCCCTCTCCCGCTCCTCTCCCCCCCCTCTCCCGCTCCTTTCCCCCCCTCTCCCGCTCCTTTCCCCCCCTCTCCCGCTCCTTTCCCCCCCTCTCCCGCTCCTTTCCCCCCCCTCTCCCGCTCCTTTCCCCCCCCCTCTCCCACTCCTTTCCCCCTTATCCCGCTCCTTTCCCGTTCCATCCGCCTTCTCCCTTTTGTCCCGTCTCCCCTTCCCCTCTCCCACTTCTAATTGCCCTCTCCCTCTCCCCCCCCTCTCCGTCTCCTTTCCGCCGTCTCCCTCCCTCTCCTCCTGCTCCCCCCTCTTCATGGTCTGTTGCTATGTAGTTGTGTGCTGATCGTTGATTCTTGCCTTGTCTGCTGCAGAGCCTCTGGACTGCCAGTGGTGCTGGGATCCCCTGCAAAGCCCCTCCTAGAGTGCCCTGGAGCTGCTTCGGTGCCCTGAAGTGCCTTTTAAGTGACTCTGAAGTGTTTTTAGGGATTCAATGTGTGCCACTTGAAACCAGGGGACCTTGTTATATACGTTCAAGTGCCTCTTGAAACGAGTAGCAGAGGGGTTGAACAGTGTTGTCTGCAGTGCTAAATAATGTCTACATGCAACCATAGCAGAAAGGGTTGTTCCAATCTAACATGAACTTTTAGACACGTGAGATTTATGCCTTTGAAATACGGGTACGTAAGAAATGGAGCATCCATTACGTCTTCTGATCGATCACACAATCACTAATACAATCACAAATCAAGAGCAGTCTGTGTAGTAAGGCACTCCTATCCTCCTGAGACCTCTTTTGATGGCCACCTGCTGCTTCATAGCAGCACTGCCACTCCAGGCGCTCTTTAGGAGCTCTGCTATCATTAGAAGCTCTAACATTCAGGGGCTCTCAGCATAGCCGTGGCGCTGGAGGGCTCTGCTGCATGGAACAGACAAGGAGTAGATATATGGGAAACAGGAGAGGAGAGAGAGGATTTGCAAGGGACTCGTCTCTGTAGCAATACTCAGCATAGCCGTGGCGCTGGAGGGCTCTGCTGCATGGAACAGACAAGGAGTAGATATATGGGAAACAGGAGAGGAGAGAGAGGTTTTGCAAGGGACTCGTCTCTGTAGCAATACTCAGCATAGCCGTGGCGCTGGAGGGCTCTGCTGCATGGAACAGACAAGGAGCAGATAAATGAGGGGAAACAGGAGAGGAGAGGAGAGAGAGGGGAGCTGGAGACAAGGCCTTTCCAGCATAGCAGATGGTGGGAGGAGATGGCAAGAGGGGAAGGGAAGAGAGGAGAGAGGGACGGGGAAGGGAGAGAAGGGGGAAGCATCGGGAGAGGGGAGGTGCAACAGACAAGGTGAGAATGAATGATTGGCACAGAGATGCATGGTGGGAGGAGATGGCAACAGGGGAAGGGAAGAGAGGAGAGAGGGGCGGGGAAGGGAGAAAAGGGGGAAGGATTGGGAGAGGGGAGGTGCAACAGACAAGGTGAGAATGAATGATTGGCACAGAGATGCATGGTGGGAGGAGATGGCAAGAGGGGAAGGGAAGAGAGGAGAGAGGGACGGGGAAAGGCGAGAAGGAGGGGACAGGGAAGGCTAGTGGGGAGGTTTCGAGAGGAGAGGGGAGGCTACTGGGGCTGGCATTTGCCAGAGACTGCACGGTATGCCATGAGGCACTGGCATGCCCCCCCCTGCCTGTCGCTATTTGAGGCGTCTCGATCTTGGCTTACCGGCGGGAAGGGAAGGCTACTGCTTCTGGCATTCGCCGGAGACGGCACGGTAACCCTTGAGGCACTGGCAGGCCACCCCGTAATTATCGTTTGTCTTGATGCACTTGGAGTGTGGCGGGCACTTGGCTCGCTGGCAGATGTTGGCTGGATGATAGCGCATGGGGGGGAGGCATGGGGGGAGAGGGATGGGGGGAGAGGGTTGGGGGGAGAGGGATGGGGGGAGAGGGATGGGGGGAGAGAGATGGGGGGAGAGGGATGGGGGGAGAGGGATGGGGGGAGAGGGATGGGGGGAGAGGGATGGGGGGAGAGGGATGGGGGGAGAGGGATGGGGGAAGAGGGATGGGGAAAGAGGGATGGGGTGAGAGGGATGGGGGGAGAGGGATGGGGGGAGAGGGATGGGGGGAGAGGGATGGGGGGAGAGGGATGGGGGGAGAGGGATGGGGGGAGAGGGATGGGGGGAGAGGGATGGGGGAAGAGGGATGGGGAAAGAGGGATGGGGTGAGAGGGATGGGGCGAGAGGGATGGGGTGAGAGGGATGGGGTGAGAGGGATGGGGTGAGAGGGATGGGGTGAGAGGCATGGGGGAAAGAGTGCATGGGTGGCAGCAGAAAGCATGTGCATGGCAGCAGTAGGGCACGGATGGCAGCATCGAGTGCTGCTCTTTCATAATTATGTCTGCAGTAGCATGCGAGGCAGCATGTGGGCATGCGCGGCAGCATGAGGGAGGGCAAGCATGGCAGCAGCGACTGCTGCACTTTCATAATTATGTCTGCGGTGACATGCATAGCAGCAGCATGGCATGCATGGCAGCATGAGGGAGGGCAAGCATGGCAGCATGAGGGAGGGCAAGCATGGCAGCATGAGGGAGGGCATGCATGGCAGCATGAGGGAGGGCAAGCATGGCAGCACGAGGGAGGGCATGCATGGCAGCATGAGGGAGGGCAAGCATGGCAGCATGAGGGACGGCAAGCATGGCAGCATGAGGGAGGGCAAGCATGGCAGCATGAGGGAGGGCATGCATGGCAGCATGAGGGAGGGCATGCATGGCAGCATGAGGGGGGGCAAGCATGGCAACAGCAGGGCAAGCATGGCAGCATCAGGGCATGCATGGCAATAGTTGGAAATAGCAGCAGAAAACGCCAACGCATGGCAGCAGAAGGGCACGCAGAGATAACGCAGCTTTTGAGGTGCCTCAAAAGACGACTTTTTTTTTAGGCGCCTCAAAAGTGCATGGCAGCAGCACGGCACGCACTGATAACGCAGCGGAAGGACTTGAGAGGTGTGGTCAGCTTGATGGTTCTGCTCACATGGGGAGGGGAGGTTGTGGGGAGGGGGGAGAGGGGGGAGGGGGAGGGGAGACGGGTTCAGGGCGTGTGATATCGGCGCATCGGGCTTTTGAGGCGCCTCAAAAACAGATAACGCTTTGCTACTCGCCAGTAACAAACGCGTGAATTTTGCGAGTTCCTTCCCACTCCCACCAGCTGTAACGAACAGCTGAATGCTCACCTCATCTCATGCACGCCTGCGACAGCTCAGGCGATGCAACGAACAGACGGTGTAACGAACAGGCGGTGTAACGAACAGGCGGTGTAACGAACAGGCGGTGTAACGAACAGGCGGTGTAATGAACAGGCGGTGTAACGAACAGGCGGTGTAACGAACAGGCGATGTAAAGAACAGGCGGTGTAACGAACAGGCGGTGTAAAGAACAGGCGGTGTAAAGAACAGGCGGTGTAACGAACAGGCGGTGTAACGAACAGGCGGTGTAACGAACAGGCGATTTAAAGAACAGGCGATGTAACGAACAGGCGATGTAACGAACAGGCGATGTAACGAACAGGCGATGTAACGAACAGGCAATGTAACGAACAGGCGATGTAACGAACAGGCGATGTAACGAACAGGCGGGTGAAATGCTCACTCACTGCACGTTAAGCCAGAGCAATCCGCCGACGACTCATCTAATGCAACGAACAGTAACGAACCGTAACGAACAGTAACAAACGGGCGAAATAGACGAGATGCTCACTGCACGTTTCCAACGGTTGGGGGTGGGGCAGTGAGTCTCCCAGCCGTTACGCCAGAGCAATCCGCCGACGACTCATCTAATGTAACGAACAGTAACAAACGGGCGAAATAGGCGAAATGCTCACTGCACGTTTCCAACGGCTGGGGGTGGGGCAGTGAGTCTCCCAGCCGTTACGCCAGAGCAATCCGCCGACGCGAAAGCCTGCAGCGCGACGCACGGAACATGATAACCCGTAGCGAGGCCTCCAGTCACGTCCCAAAGCAATAGCGCCTGCACATTCGTCCCCCAGACGCTCGGCGCGCCGCAGAGGCCTGAGTGGAAGTAGACAAGGCTGGGCTTTGCGAGCGACCCGAGGATCATGAGTGTCTCCACGACGAGCGACGCTTTCACCACCTCGCTCGCGGCGGTTACCACCTCGCTCGCGCTCGCGCCCGCGCTCGCCACCGCCGTGCCGCTCGCGGCGGCGGCGCCCACCGCCACGGCGGCGGCGGGGGCGGGAAAGCGCGCCGTGCTCACCACCTCGATCGCGCTCGCGCTCACCACTGGCTTGCCGGCGGAGGCAGGCGCTCCCAGCGACGCTCCGGCGTTACTCGCTGCCGCAAGGATGGGTGACATGATGGGGAAAGGGGGAACACAGAGCCGCCGGAGGAAGGCAACAGTCAGAAAGGAAAGCACGCCTCTGCTGTGCCGTCGGCGGCGGCAGGTGCTCCCAGCGACGCTCCGGCGTTACTCGCTGCCGCAAAGGATGTGACATGATGGGGAAAGGGGGAAGGGATAGCAGCAGCTTGGCACGGAGGCCGTCGCACGGGGAAGGGCAAAAGTCAGCCACGGGAGGGAATTGCAATTGAAATCATGCCGCGACCCGGCCTTATGGAAGAAGATTCTGTGAGCCTTTCACGGGCATGCCGCATGGCGCATTCACGGTCTTCGCAGCGACGAAGGGAGGCCGCGCGGCGTACCGATGAGAAGCGCGACAACGAGCAGCGCGGCGGACGCTGCGGCCTTGGATTGTTCCGCGATCATCATTATCATCATCGCGGGTGCTCGTGGCGAGCGAAGGTATGAGTAGCGCGGAGGGGTGCCGCGTCAGGGTCGCTTCGGATGCGATCGAAGCACAAAGCAGCGATTCCGCAACGGGGCGCCGCGATCGCGATGATCTCGAGATGGGCGGGAGAGTTGGAGCCAGAAGCGACGGTCTGATGTTACAGTAACCCAGAGGCAGCGAGGCGGCGTCGGAGCCCTCAATACTCCGAGAAGCGCCGGTAAGTTCGTCTCAATTATACTCGATGGGAAGTCACCACTACTGGTGGCACGAATATGATATACTTACTACTCCCCGCGTATTTCGATACGGGCGGGCCATATTGGAACGCCGGACCCTCCAGGGGGGATAGTGGCAACGGTGCCGCACCCCAGGTGAGGCACCAGGTGCGCGTACGCGCAGCGCTCGAGAGGCCACTCGCCACCCGTTGCCACGCCACGTGGGCCACGTGAGGCACCAGGTGCGCGTAGGCGGCATGAATTGTCGAAAAATTCCCGGGGGTTTACTACAGGCGAATCCCAACCTAATCGCAGCAGTCTGTCTACGTGTATCACAAGCACGACGCCGTCCCTATGACGTTTGGGGACGGGCAACCACACGTCGTCTACAAGCGCCACGGCTCAGTTTGCTCGGTTGAGCAACGTGTGGTACCGAACGTGCACCTAATTCGGTTCTGTCTGGATAGTGTCTTCAATCACAACCACCAGAACGTCTCGTTCGTTATCTTCGCGAGCGCAGGTACGCCACGTGGCGTTTGGAAATGTATAGGTAGCGCGCGCCGTCGGATGCTTCTCTGCCACGAGTAATTCAACTTGTTCACAGCCGATCTTGCTCACTGCCGTATTTTAGGTATCGCGCCGCGATCGGATCTTGCTCGCTGCCGTAATATTAGGTGTCGTGATCTTGTTCACTGCCGTATTTTTCGGTGTCGCATTAGGGCAGGTCCAACTCGTTCACTACTAGCGTTTAGGTATCGCGAACATAATTCAGCCGTCTTTTCATGTGTCGGGTTAGGGGGTACAGTAAAAGCGGAAGGAGAACAAAAGGAGAAAGGAGGCTGAAGGAAGAAATCACAACAGGCAGCCCGCACAACGAAATGTTAGGGCTGATCCAACTCGTTCACTACCACGGGTTATTCACTGCGGTGGGTGGCTTTTTTATGAGTGGCCTTAGGCCTCCCTCTCTCCCTCCACACAACAAGTGTCAACAAGATTGAGCACAATTCGAGAATCGTCGTGTCGCGCAATGAAGTCTTTTGTAATGCTTCTCACTTCTTGTTGGAAGTATGGGCGTGTTTCAATCTTGTCAACAAACGAAGCAGGCTATAAATAATAACCTTTCTATACAAATGTTTTCATTATTCATATGAGGTATATGGATGCCATGTTGGGTACTCGAAAAAAAACCAGGACAGGAAATCCCGGTAGAGAAAACAATAAAACTTCATTTTTTAAGCTTACAGGTAGACATTCTATGATGCTCCAATGCTGATATCACACCCCTCACTCTTGCTACAAAATTGCTTCCAATCCAATAATCACAGCAATGGCTTCCCTAGGTAGCAAATGCTGACTCCCAAGTCCCGTCACAAAGCTGCCACTCCAGGCCCTCTTCCATTCCTCTCCAGGGGCTCTCTAGGGCATCTGCAGAGACGCAGGAGCTCCCATAGATGCGCTGCTCTCTGCAGGAGCTCTCAGCACAGTAGTGGCTCAGGAAAGGCTCTGCAGCAGACAACAAGATAAACAAGAGGCATGCAGATGGATAGAGGCAGAACAGGGGCTGGTCTCTTCAGAGCAGAACAGAGGCTCCTCCCAGCACAGCAGGGACTCAGGAGAGGGCTCTGCAGGAGACACGATAGAATAGAGGCAGAGAGATGGATAGTGGCAGAAGATAGACAAGAGGAGAGGGGAGACATGAGAGGGTTGAGAGGAGGGGGGAAGGGAGAGCGGCTTTATAAGGGTTCCCAACATAGAAGTGGCAGTGGAGGGGCTCTGGAGCAGACAAGGCGAGAATCAACGACTAAGGCACAGGGAACATGGCGGAAAGGAGTGGGAGAGCGTGAGGGAGGATAGGATAGGAGGGAGGAAGGGACGTGGCGTATGGAGGAAGAGGGGAGAGGAAGGCAATCTGGGACGAGAAGGGAAGAGAGGAGCTTGCATTCACCGTAGAGTTTAGGTGGCCCTGGGCGCACTGGCAGGCCACCTCCAGCCTCCAGGCTGTCTCTCATCATGATGCGCATTTAACACACAGACTTACATTCAGGTGAAGGTTCTTGGGGTTTGCATTGACCGTAGACTTTCCGGTAGCCCTGGGCGCCCTGGCACCCCAGCTCTAGGCTGTCGCTTGTCTTAATGCACATTCAAAGCACAGACTTACATTCGGGTGCAGGTTCTTGGGGCTTGCATGTGCCGTAAACGTTGCGGTAGCCCTGGGCGCACTGGCATGCCACCTCCATGCTGTCGTTTGTCTTGATGCACGTGGAGTGTGCCGGGCACTTGACACGGCTGCAGATGTCGTCTGGATCACATGGGAGGAAGGGGTGAGAGGGATGGGATGGGAGGAAATGGCATGGGGGGAGAAGGATGGGGGAAAGAATGGGGGGAGAGGCATGGAAGAAAGAATGGGGGGAGAGGCATGGGGGAAAGAATGGGGAGAGAGGCATGGGGGAAAGAATGGGGGGAGAGGCATGGGGGAAAGAATCGAGGGAGAGGCATGGGGGAAAGAATGGGGGGAGAGGCATGGGGGAAAGAATGGGGGGAGAGGCATGGGGGAAAGAATGGGGGGAGAGGCATGGGGGAAAGAATGGGGGGAGAGGCATGGGGGAAAGAATGGGGGGAGAGGCATGGGGGAAAGAATGCGGGGAGAGGCATGGGGGAAAGAATGGGGGGAGAGGCATGGGGGAAAGAATGGGGGGAGAGGGATGGGGGAAAGAATGGGGGGAGAGGGATGGGGGAAAGAATGGGGGGAGAGGCATGGGGGAAAGAATGGGGGGAGAGGCATGACTCATGAGGAAAAGCGACAAAGGTTGCAGCAGGAAGCGCATGGCTCCACTCAAAAGGAGTCTGCTTTTGAGTCGACTCAAAGGAAGCGCGTGCTCCACTCAATAGCAGCAAGCGCATGCATGGTAGCCGCAGGGCACAGGTGGAAGCTGCGAGTGATGTTTGTTCAAGGCGATGCATGAGCAGCAGGGCATGCATTGCAATAACAGTAGAGAGGTGAATGCATGGTGGTAGCAGCAAGGCACTCACCGAGAACGCAGCGGATGGACTTCACTGATGCGTCCATCTTGAACGCACTGCTCACACAGACACAGGGGGGAGGGGCGCATGGGAGGGGCGCATGGGAGGGACGCATGGGAGGGACGCATGGGAGGGACGCATGGGAGGGACGCATGGGAGGGACGCATGGGAGGGACGCATGGGAGGGACGCATGGGAGGGACGTATGGGAGCAGGTGCAGGGCACATATGGCAGCAGTAGGATGGACTTCACTGATGCGCCCATCTTGAACGCACTACTCACAGCTGCACTGCGTTGCACACCGTACGATCCAAAAACACGTCCCACCACACCACACCAGCACATCCCCCCCACCCCCCCCGCCAGTAACAAGCGGGTGAGCACTCACCTCATGTCCCTTGTGTGGTAAACCGTGTTTTGGTACTCTGCCGCTGCAGTACCCGAGCAGTCGGGCGACGTGAACAGCTGCACCGCGTCGCACACCGTGCGCTCGAAAAGCGCGTCACCCAAAAACACGTCCCACAACAGCAGCGCGTCCACCGCACCTCCTCCGCCGCCGCTCGCGGACGCGACTTCGGGCATCACCGTCCCCACAGATACGCAGCGCTCAAATTCGAATCGGACTTTGCGCGGCTGCGCAAGCGAGCCGAGGAGCATCACGGTCCCCATTCGCACATACAGCCGCACCACGTCGGTGGCCGCAGCGGCATTCGCTCCCATGGCTGCGGGGAGAAGGGCGAAGACAAAAAGGGAAGGGAAGGGTTGAAAACGAGCGAGCCGAGGAGGAGCATCAGTGTGCCCATGCGCACATAAAGCCGCACCCCATCGCTGGCAGCCACCCCATCGCTGGCAGCCACCCCATCGCTGGCAGCCACCCCATCGCTGGCAGCCACCCCATCGCTGGCAGCCACCCCATCGCTGGCAGCCACAACATTTGCTGCCGTCGCTGCGAGCATGTCAAACAGAGAAGGGCAAAGACGGAAAGCCAAGCGAAAAGGTCGGAACGAGCGAGCCGAGCCGAGGAGCATCACCGAGCCCACGCGCACATAAACCCGCACCACCGTCATGAAAAGAAGGTGTTTTTGAGACACCTCAAAAAGAGTCCACGCGCACATAAGCCGGCAGCAGTCGTGCCTTTGGCGGCTGGTGCTCCCAGCGACACTCCCATCTCACTCGTTGCAAAGACATCACACAGAGGGAAAGGGAGAATGGCAAGACACGTCACACAAGGAAGGGCAAAAGTCACGCCCGTAGTACCAGTCGGGTCGGTGCAGCCGCCGCCAGCAGTCGTCCCTTTGATGGCAGATTCTCCCAGCGCCAGCGACACTCCCGCCTCATTTGCTGCGAAGACGTCACATGGAGGGGAAGGGAGAGCAGGAAGTGACACGGGGAAGGGAGAGCAGGAAGTGACACGGGGAAGGGAGAGCAGGAAGTGACACGGGGAAGGGCGACAGTCAGCGACAACGACCTCACTCGCTGCGAGGACGTTACATGGGGAACGGGAAACCCCGATTAAGTAACAAGCGACTCGCGAATGTGACGCTTTTTTATTCGACTCAGGAGTCGGATGTGTACGGAATTGGGGTTTAATCAAGCAGCGTGTAAGCTTCTAACGAGCGTCGCGCAAAATGCCTCGAGGTTGGGAAGCGTACCAACGAGGATGACGACGAGCAGCGCGACAGCGAGCTTGGAATCTCCCATGCTGGTGCTCGCGGTGGTGACGAAAGAGGCTCGGCAAGTAGCGGCGACGGGTGCCAGAGGCACTAGCCTCGTCAGAAGCGGCGGTAGTAGCAGCTTCCTTGTAGAACAAGCGGCGGTAGTCGGTTGGGAACGGTTGGGCGAATTGGACAGGAAAAAGTGTCGAGACAGAAAGAGGGACTGATTCAACCAACCAGAAGGCAGCAACGCGCCGGAGGTGAATTCAGGGTCGCAGACTAGCAAGTGGCTGGGTACGCGTCGGTTTTGAGGCGATTATTGAGGCGCCTCAAAAAGCAACGCGGAGGTGAATTCAGGGTCGCAGACTAGGAAATGGCTGGGTAAGCGTCGGTGCCTCACAAGTGCGATCAGTGATAGTCGACGAGGTGGGTGCGTATTCCCGATGAGGCCCACTAGTTTATATACATATGCCTACAAGCACGCGCAATCGATACCGCGCGTATTCGATCCCCAGGGCTCTTGAGAATAATCTCGCGCCCACAATCGTCTACGCGCTGCGAAACCTAAGCGCAACTGCGGCTCCCATAACCGTGTACTACACGATGAAATCCGAAGTGGTTGCGTGCACTCCGGGTCACCTTGGACTGGCAACAATGGCTGTGTTGGTCTGAAGACATTGTGCGTGCCGTGCCGTGCCGTGCCGTGTGGGGCGCGGTTGATATGGCTATGCCCTGTGCTTGTGCTCCCCTCCCCTCATCTGCCTACTTTTTCCCTTGCTGAACTGAAGCTGCTTGTAGAGAAACTCACGAACAATACAAGCAACAGAGTTGTGGGTGAAGGTAAATTTGCAGATTCGTTGTACATAAATCAGTGTGATCATGATAAGCTATATTGATAAAATATGGAGTGAAATGGGCAACCAAGTTAGTTTTGGACCGTTACGTATCTGAAGCAGAGGTTCAATCTAGATGGCGTGCGAGCGACATCACAAGGCACTGTCTGGGTGGGAGATAAATGTTCGTCGAAAAGTCATGTGCTAAGTCGGCTAGACTGAACTACGTCGCGGTGTCCTCCACGCTCATCGCACCATGCGGAGATAACTGCTGCAACGGGAGATAGACTATGGGCTAGGCACGTGTGCTCGTGTGATCTCTGCGTTCGTTAGTCCTTAGTCGTTTTCCTTGTGCATACACTACTTGCTAGTTCACGGGGAAAGTTGGCAAGAGTTTCACTAGGAAAAGTTCAGAACAATGATAGAAACAACATTGGCATCACAGACTACATCAGTGCTAGCTAGGCTGCTGGTCAACCTCCAACGCAGCACGGTCGACCGCGCTCCAGCGCAGCAGCGCTCGCACCGCTCCAGCGTTGCAGAGCAGCGGTTCGCCAACGTTGCAAGTCCACGGTGTGCTTGTGCTGCAGCAAGCCGGCTGCACAGCGTTGCACCCGCAGGACAACGGTGCACCTGCTTCGCAGGTGCGCGGAGCTGGTTGGTGCGCACTTCCTTGTCACGTGCACAACGCAGACGCCTGGCAGACTCCACGCCAGCGACTGTGTCCACCAGCCACGTCGACCTCGGGATACCACCCCCGAGGTCGGTCTCGCAATCTCCACCCTGGCGACACTCGCGCATGTCGCCCGGGTATCCCAATCGACCGGGCAACCACGCCTGGTCGACTCGCGCAGTCCGTAGCCGGTCACGCATGCTCGGCGTCCCCAGTCCGGCGTCCAGGCGCACCCAGGACGCCACTGAATCCCAAGGTCGGCGTCCAGACGCCCAGGACGCCGACCAAAGCCTCCAGAGCGGCGTCCCTCCTCCCAGGACGCCGACTAGACACCCAGGTCGGTGTCGGGACCCGACGCCCAGGTCAGCGTCCGGACCCCCGGACGCCGTGCAGACGCCCACGACGTCGACCAGACGTCCGGGTGGTCGTGGCGACGCCCAGCTCGGCGTCCAGCTTCCCAGGACGCCGTCCAGGTGTCCGGGACGCCAACCAGGCCTCCAGGGCGGCGTCCTCCTGCTCGGCGCCCTTGTAGTGGCCCCCGTGCCCACTGCTACAGGTCGGCTGCAACCCTCGCACATCCGACCACAAGGTTGGCTTCGCCCAAGCGAGGCCGGGGCCTTACAACGCTCCCGTTGACACTCCCCTGCCGCGTTCACGCTTGGGCCCCCTAGCCCACACGGCAGTACAGCTCCGAGAATAGCCCATCGGGGTGCACCCAACACACAGCACGCTGGTCACCGCACCAGCCATGCAAGAGGGCATGGCACCTACTGTTGCTCGTCGTTGTCGCCGTCGCTCACGTCGGCCAAGCGCACCTGACCGATTGTGATGGAGCACCGGTTGAAGGCCGGATAGTGCAGCGCCTTCGTCAGGAAATCGGCCGGCTGCTCAGCGGTTGGGATGTACTGCAGCGAGAACTTCCCGCGCTTCACCATGTGTTGCAGCCAGGCCTGTCGCCGCTCCATGTGCTTGAGGTTGCCCGTCAACCCCATGCCCTCGGCGACCGTGATGGCCGACTTGTTGTCCACGCGCAGGACAGTCGGCTTCTCGGCGTCCAGCTGCCAGAACTCTGCGAGGAGGAAGCGAAGGCGGCGTCCCTCCTTGCCAGCTTCAGTAGCCGCCACGTACTCCGACTCGGTCGACGACAACGTCGCGCACTTGATGCGCTCGCTCAACCAGGAGACTGCAGCCCCTCCGTAGACGAACACGTAGCCGCTTGTGCTCGTCCTGTTCTGCTTGTCACCGGCGTCGTCGTCGTCCACGTAGCCGACCATCTTTAGCGACTCAGGTCCACCGCCGAACTCCAGGGCAGTGTCACGTGTGTTGGCGAGGTAGGCGAGGCAGCGGTCGACCTCGCGCCAGTGCTGGTCGCTCCTCACCGTGAGGCCCCTCCCCAGCTTGCTGCAGGCGAAGGCGATGTCTGGCCTTGTCGTCGTCGCCGCGAACTGCAGCGAGCCGACCTTTCGTCGGTACTCCTCCTCCTGCCGTTCCTGCGCCTCCTCGTCATCGAAGGCGAGCTCGGCGTAGGCACCGACCGAGACCGGCGTCTTCGGGGTGCGCTCGGTCTGCTCCTCGTCGAGGAAGCGCCTACGCAGCTTGTCGGCGTAGCCCTACTGGTGCAGCCACAGCTTCCCCGCCGACCTGTCGCGCACGATCTCCAGCCCGAGGTATTTCTGCACCGGCGAGATCTCGCGCAGCTCGAAGGCGGCTTCCAGCAGCTCCTTCAGCTCCTTCAGCATCGCGGCGCTGCTGCTGGCGGCAAGCAGGTCGTCGACGTAGACCAGCACCCAGCAGACTACTCCACCCTCGCCGACCTTGAAGTAAAGAGCCTCGTCGACCTGGCTCTTCTTCCACCCGGCGCCGACCAGCACATCGTTGAGCGCCAAGTACCACAACAGCGGCGACTGCTTCAGCCTGTACAGGCTCTTCAGCAGCTTGCACACCCGGCCGGTTCCGTCGTTGAAGTAGTCCGGCTGGGACATGTACAGCACCCGATCGAGCTTGCTCTGCAGGAAGGCGTTCTTCATGTCGAGCTGCATCAGGTTGAGGTTGAGGACAGCGACAATGCTGAGGAAGATCCTCAACGTAACGTAGCTGCTCACCGGCGCGAACGTCTCGTCGTAGTCGACGCCGTACACCTGTGTGAAGCCCTTCACGACCAGCCTCGCCTTCTCTCGCTCGACGGTGTCGTCGATGTGGTACTTCGTCGTCAACACCCACCGGTTCTTCATGACGTTCACTCCCGGCGGGCGTCCCTGCGCATTCAACTGGAGCATGTTAGTACGGTTTGCGCGTCACTTATCCTGTGCTGGAAAAAACTCCGAATCCAACATGCGTACCTGTGAGCGACGCAGTGAGTTGAAGCCAGGTGTGGTATGCGCAGTCGCAGCCTCACGACTAGACCGTTGTTCTTGCCGGTCATCACACTCGCCCCGTTCGTAGATATTCCAGAAATCCTCTGGAGATCCACCCCGATTCCTGTAAGGTACTGCACAACAGCGGAGGTTAGCGAGGCCGTATCGGCACGGTCCACGGTAATGAGAGTTAAAAGCTCCGTGACCGGAGTTACCCCTTTGAAGAATGTCGCATACAGTATCAGGTGCTTGCCATTCACCCGGTCGGTGCTCTCATCCAGAAGAATCCCTATATATGGGGATTCCAGAAGGTGGCCGCATTGAGTCTCTTGAAGGTAAGTGGAGGTTGCGCGCAGCATCTCTTTGAATCCGTAGCTGCGAGGACAACAGACAAGGTGCACGAACACAAGTTGCAGTAGCATCTGGTCAGCTTGAGTCACGGAACAAACACAAGCGCCACAAACACGCACTTACTCGGTGTAGTAGGTGCCGTACCCTCCAGACGGTGGAAGGTCCGGCAGTCCTTCCTTAGCCAGAAACCAGCACAAAGGA